CGCTTTTGATTGGTCAAAAAGAGGACAAAATTTCCTTTTTGGCCAATCAAAAGCGGCGAATGGGATCGGCACATGCCGAATACAATAGTATCCGGAGGCCATTCCTGGGAAAGGTTGCCACATCGAAACGAGCAAGTGGCAGAGCTGAGCGGCAGGGCGGCCGTGGAGGCCAGGACGGCGGCGCTGCGAAAGCCTTCTGGTAGCCTTGCCCAGAACAGCCAGCAGGATGTGACTCATGTGATCTGGAAGCAGCTGCCTCGACCAACGCCATGGCCTGCCGTACGTCTTGGGAAGGCGGCTCGCGCTCCTGGCGATGAGGCCGGCGTGGCGCGGACCTCGGTTGTGTCGCATGGAACTTGCTGGATGTGTGTATTACAGGCAGATACGCAATACGTGGCAGCAGCAGGAACGAGCTCGAAGCGCTCTGCGATATGGCGGCCAAGTTTGGCTCATTGCCCCGAGGCTCAGCGCTTGGGCATTGCTACATAGGCCGTCGTGTATCTAACGAGATTGCGTTTGTGCGGTCCGTCCTTCCTTCTCGTTTAGTCGAGTGGGTGCAAGGGCCCACTGCGGCTCCATTGCCCACTAAACTATTCAACTACTCGACTTGAAAGATATTCAAAAATGCATTTAGTCGCTCAATTCGATCGATGGATCACGAGGCTTGCGCCATCGTCTTTTGCTCGATGCGCAATACGAGGATACGCAGCTTCTCGTTGTCGTTCGGAAGCTCGTCGGCGCATTCGTCGCAGATCGTGGCCGTCATACTGTGGTGCGCGTCGCAGCAGACGCAGACGAGACCGTCGTCGATCTCGAATCCGTTCTTCTTGGCAGCAGCCAGACGCTTCAGAAGGACCTGGAGCTTGGACGCAACGGACGCTAGAGGTTCCACGCAGGCTTCGCAGTGCGACTCGAGCAACGAGTTGGAGGCGTGGCAGAGCTGACACACAACATGGGTGCTCACAGAGGAAGGCGACCACGTCTACGTCAAAGCATGCTGAGATGCCCGGACGATGCCTGTGTTGATCGTACCACCGAGTCCGTCGACGCGGCAGAGGACATCGACGGTGTGGGCCGAACTCGGTCAAGGAGGCCGCCGACCATGGACTCCGAGTCGCAGATGCGCGTGATCAAGTGGTTTAGCTCCGAGAGCTGCGGGACCTACGAAAGCCTGCTGAAGAGTACTGCGGTGGACTCGACCGAGTACCTTTTGCTTGGTCGATTTTTCTGCTTGCAGCAGCGTGTTGATGACGAGTGGGTGCGTCGCCAGCATCAACGGCGTCTTGCCCGTCTAGAGATCCCGTCCTTCACTACGCAGGATGATGTGCTAGATAGCGATACCGTATCCTTGGCAAAGACGCTGGCCTCGACGTCCAGAAGGTACTTGACGGCACTGTCGTGGGCCTTCTCAGCTGCAACATGGAGCGGTGTCTGGCCCATCTAGTTCAAACGAGATACGATTTGACGGGATCTAATCACAAACAATATTGTCTACCGCGTCGCACGCATCGACGCTGACGCCACACTGGACGATTTGGTGAAGGATGCTCATACTGCCACCAAGTGCAGCCGCGTGCAGCATAGTCGATCCATCCTAACATCGCAATGAGACATGTGGAATATAAAAAGTCAAAGACAGTACTTTGGAAACGAGACGGGGGTTGGCGTTGGCACGAAGGAGACATTGGACAACGTCGGCGTGGCCACCGATCGCAGCGGCAAAAAGGGGTGATTCCCCATTCTACACCAATTTGAAACCAACACATTCGATTGAAAGTAGAGAGTACGTTGTTGGTCGCGTCGATACCACTCTCTTCTTCGGTCACTTGAAGCAGCATCGTGACAATGGGCAGGTGCCCCGCTGGTAGAGAATACGTGGTTGGTCGCGTCGATACCACTCTCTTCTTCGGTCATTTGAAGCAGCATCGTGACAATGGGCAGGTGCCCCGCTGCAGCCGCCATGAACATCGCCGTCTCGCCGTTCTAGATCCCACCATTCAGTATGACACCGGGTTTGACGTCCAAGCTCAAGGTCCATACCTCGTTGGTCGACGAGCAGTTCACACCCAGAGCGAGGAGTTGCGACAAACTGGTGCCATCGTTGGAGGCGGCGGCTTGGTGCAAGGCGGTGGCGAAGATTGCGGATGAAGCACAATGATCCTGCAACCTCACACGGTCAGTCAAACACTGTATCGAGGTCGCCCACCTTGTCGACGAGATCGACGGACGCGCCGGCTTGGTGCAGCGCAAGGGCGGCCTGCACGTTGTCAGTGCGGATCACGATGGCGAGAGCGGAGCGGCCAGCCTATTGTACCAGAGACGACGGCTTGAGCGTCCAACTCCAAGGCGATATGGATGACTCTACCGCGTCTTTGGCGTCGAGTTGGAGGCCGGGCTTCTGGAGCAGCGCTTGAAGCAGCGGCAGATGCTGTGTTGCCACAACCAGATGTAGCAACAATGTCTCAAACTAGTAGCATTGTCATGACTATCGATGACAATATTGTTGAAAAAAATACGTACGCAGTTGCGGACGTTGGCGTACACCAAATTGCTTGTGAGAACGCGCGTGGCTTCATCAAAGCGCTGGCTGTGCATTGCATTGAAGAGCTACGACATGGTATCGACCCCGAAAGCCATGTGGACGACGGTATACCTGGTTGAGCACGCGAGGGTGGCTGCGCAAGAGACTTGCGACGTCGTCCTTGGAGCTGGCTGGCTACCTCGAGCGGGGTTTTGAGATCCTAGAGACAACAGTGCATTCGAGCGCGCTGCATGCAGCTAGTACGTTGTTTCTCGCATCGATGTTGGCGCCTTTCTCCAAGAGTAGACTCGCAATGCTGCGCTGATTGCCCTGAGCTGCATAATGCAGCAGCGTATTGGCGCTCTACGCTCCAAGACGCTGGGTATCCGCGGGATGGATCATCAAAGCGCACCGAATCGAGTGCGTCCAACGCGGCGCCGTGCTCAAGCAAGAGGCGGACGACGTCCATTTGACCTTTGAGAGCAGCTTGATGCAGTGGCGTCGAGCCAATCTAGATAGGTCAAGCTCCAACAGTGTCAAATGCACCAATCCTACCGAATCGCGCGCGTCCACCAACGCGCCCTTGTCAAGCAAGAGACGGACGACGTCCATATACCCTCGGAAAGCAGCTTTGTGCAATGGCGACGAGCCAATCTAGGTAGCAGGGACATTCAATACGCATGTTGTCACGCAAAACCGACCTCGTCATACGCGTCCACGTTGGCGCCGTGCTCCAACAAGAAGCGGACGAGGGCCGGACGATCGTTCTCGGCAGCTCGGAAGAGCGGCGTCGCACCACTCTAGACAGCGGTTGCATCACGGCAAGGCAGGCGATGGTCGACGATACCAAATCGCGGGCCTCCACGTTGGCGCCGTGCTCCGACAAGAGGCGAGCGACGTCGAGGCGACCACTGATAGCAGCTTTGTGCAATGGCGTCGAACCAGTCTAGAGACGTCGTAGCATCACACTAAGCAAGGGAAGCTGGAAGCTTGATTTTGTACCGCATCGCACGCTTGCACGTTGGCGCCTTTTTCAAGCAAGATGCGAACGATATGCCCCCGACCCCAGCTCGACGCTTTGAACAATGGCGTCCAACCAGCCTAGCAGTCGCTCATCACTGTATGCAACGCAACGCAAGCTCCAAGCTTGATTTTCTACCGAATCACGCGCCTCCAAGTTGGCGCCGTTGTCAAGCAAGTGGCAAACGACGTCCAATAGTCCGCTATCTATCGATTGGTGCAATGGCGTCAAGCCTATCTACTTGGAGCATTATGCATCTGCACAGTTGGTGTCGTACCTTCTTTGCGCAGTTGACGTTGGCGCCTTTGTTGAGACAGGCGATGACGTCCGCCAAGGCGCCACGCTCTGCAGCTTCGAGAAGCGCTTCCTACATTCTGCCTGAGTATCGCAAGTCGCTCTGTCGCCGTACCTCGTTCCTCGTTGACATTGCCCGTCGCTGCTGGTTGGAAAATGGTGCAAAATGGGTCTCGTCCCATCGCTCGTTTTTGATTGGCGCGTCATTCCACAATCCACAGCACGGTATCCGGATGAGTGGCACGTCACGCAGTGCCGACGCGTTCGTCAAGGGAGATACATCACGCTAGGTTTTATCATTGACCCATGGTTTCATGTACCTCATTTGTCTGCCAGCGCTCACACTTCTCTTCGCCCAAGACTGCCTACAACAGCAAGCCACGTCCCGGGATGTACCTCTGGCTTCGCGCCTGCACGTATCCGGAGCGACCGCATCGCCCAACCAATGTACCACTGTCAAGTCCAGTGACGATTGCCGTCAAGGCGGCTCGCACAAGAGCACCCAGCGTAGTTCAAGTACTCATAGGAGCAACTCGAGCTTCCTTGGCTCCTTGTACGAAGTGTGTCGCTCGCCCCAGTGGCTGTCGGTCGAGTGTTTTTTTGCGTCCACGATTTAGACAGTCCAACATATCATCTCTCCTATTTAAATGGGTCTGCGACCCGGACAAATACATACTTCAAGGCAAGGCGGATCCTGGGATATACGTGGCGGAAGAGTTCCGAGCCACCTTTTAACGTGGTGAATTTGTCGGGTTCCTGTTATCGTATGATGCTAGTAGATGGCGATAAATCATCCTTGGGACAAATGTAGTTTGTACATGATGAGTATGACTAGTTGTACAAGTCACTATCTCGGTGTAAATTGTCATCTAGAAATCTCGTCGAAATCACGGCGGCCAGAGTTCCGAGCCACCTTATACGGATCCGAATACCAACGGGAGTGTATTTTTATTCATCATACGACCACTTTATTTAATTTTGGACGCGGCAATGCGCCAATGCCTCGCGTCCTCGCCGTTCATCAGCTTGCGCTCCGTAATAATGCTTGGTGTCTCCAGGCGCTGCTGCTGGCGCAAAGCTGTCGCCAACTTCTTCGCGAGGACGCCGTCGTGCGCTCGTCGATGGCGGCGATGATACCCGCGCGCTCGCCTGGCGTAAGGACTGGGTTCGGCCCGTTGCGGCTGTGCACGTCGACTTCACCTTTGATGCGCCGCGAGATGTACATGCGGTCGAGGTTGTATGCCTTGGCCGCCGCTCAGATGGACTGCACGGCCTCAATGGCGCTCAGTGCACGAGATGCCTTCTCGTCGCGGCGTCATTTCGACATTCATGCTCGGTATAGTTAATTCAAGGCAAATTTTTAAAATGTGGTGATGGGTTTGGCCGCTGGGATGCCACGTGCGCAATTTTGACCCGATGGACATCGTTCGAGCGCCAAAATGTAGTTTATTCCCACGGCTACGATCGCGTTCCGCTGGTTTCATCATATTCCATCAATAACATCACTTCATTTTGGCGCGATGCCAAATCATGGCAGGTGGCTCGGAACTCGGTATGGCTCGGAACTATGCCGGTACTTATATTTATTACCTGTCGTGGGTTGACCCTGCCGGATTTGATTTGACGAGGTTGTGCCTCGAAATAGCGTTTGAGACGGCGTTTTGTACAGCGTTTGAGACAGCGTTTGAGACAGGATTTCAAGTATTGAAAGCCAATGCAAACGATGGCACGCAGCGCATTGGTGCCAACGACAAACGTACCGCTTACGCATACTAAACCACTTGGCTTCCTGTGCGTATTAAAAAATGGCAACGACAGACATACAACCAGTGATTGCCTCTCGCCACGAGTAAGAGATTACCGTATGACCTCGAGCCGCACCAGCGCTGAACGTCGTTGCCTTGGTTCGCAATTATACGCCTTGGAATCCTGCATATCGAGTAGTGTAGCCGCGGCGCTGAGCCGGTCACTACGCGGGCCTGCGCCATGAAAGACAAGGCCGCTGTTGCCACGAAGCACGAACCCGCCGCGTGCAACTCAAGTCCGCTGCCGTGGAGTACCAGCGGGCAGGCGCATCTTGGCGGCATCTCGAATGTTGTGGTGTCGGGCGGGCAGGCGGACCAGCGACGCTCGGACTGGTAGAAGGCTCTGGTTTCCATTTATCTCGCGCCAAGTACGACATCAATGTGACATTGATGTGGACACTACAATGACGTCGCACATGGCGCTTGCGCTCTCAAGTTGATACACAATGACAATGTGTATCAACTTGAAAGCTGTGTTGGGCATCATCATAGCTAGCGACGATACTATACTAGTGAGAGATCAACCAGCGCGATACCGTTGCTTCGGTCGATGCAGCTACAGTCGAGAGGCATATGAAGTACGTGTTGGAGGGTTAAGGGTTTGTAAACTCGATGGAAAATATACTAACGTAGATAGATACTATTGTGGGACGATTTTAACACAATTTCTGGACGATCGGAAATGAGATTTGTGTAACGTTTGGCAAAAGTGTATTCAAAATGCAAAATTAGCACGTGCGTTGCACTAGGGCTCTTCGTCGATCGACTCGAGCAAATTTGTCGGTTCTGTCGGTGGACGGTTGTGGGGGTCAGGCGAGAGGTCGTCGTCATCGTCGTCGAAGGCTTCGTCACGCTCGTGGTCGTCAAGGCGCTAGGTGAGAAACTTGATAATCTGCTGGGCCGTCGGGCGACTCGACGGCTTTTGCGCCCAGCAGGCGGTCGCGAGCTTCCGGAGCCAACGCGGGCAGGCTTGGCCGAGGTCCGGACGCAACATCCCGGCGTGCACGCTAGCAATGACGTTGCCATCATGGTTCGCATACGGCTTGTGGCCCGTCTCTACTTCGGACAAGGTGATACCAAACGAGTAAATGTCGGCGGCCGACGTGTAGAGCGTTCGGTCATCGTCCTGGCTTGGGTTGTAGTCGTACGCGCGGAAGACCTCGCGGGCCATCCAGAGTTGCGACCCGATGTTGCCCGTCATGAGCGTCTCAAGGGTCCGTGCCGTGCCAAAGTCGCCGAGCTTGACTCCATGGATCGATGAGAGAAAGACGTTCAAGCTCTTGACGTCGCGCAGACAGTTTGCGTCTCGTCCGCGACTATGTGGTGGCATCCGACGAGGACGCGCCAGAGACGTGGCCTCTGTGCTGCATGGTGTGCCACACTCCGATCGTGGGCTGTGTCGTCGCCTGTGCCAAGTGCCCGCAACCTATCTTTACGTTTTGCGGTCGCTGCTACGCACAGCGGCCGTCGCGACTGACGCGCTTCTGTCGCCACGACTCGTCCGAGACGAAATGGACGAGGACATTGCCACCGCGCCGGTTTTTTCACGAAGAAGATTTGCTTGCGACAGAGTCGCCAGTGTACGCCGACACTGAGGATCTCTGGGGCGAGTACGTGGCCTACTGCCACACGCACAAGGTTCCGACGAACGAGCGCTTGCCGCGGACATCGGTCCCTGGATTGAGCCGCGGATAGCACCCGATGCTTTAAGCCTCGAGGTATCAAGTCATCAAGAATGTCGAGCGTCCCAGTCGCGAGTCGGGTCATAAACCCGGTGAATTCATATGAACTAACGCAAATTGGTACAGCATCACTCTTCTCCAATGCAATCCAACAGCAACCTTCGATCGTACTAGTAGTGTATATTGTCCTGCATCATTTGAAACCCAGTTGCAGGTCGGCTGTTGTGCCTAGGGCTAGGGTAGGTGTAGGGTAAAATCGAGCGATCGTCGATGAAAGAGATAGCATGTGCTCGCTGCGTTTGTGCTCGCTGCGTTTGTGTACTACATAACACATTTGGACTGTATACAAATATTAAAACATGCATTTAGTCGCTCAATCGATCGATGGATCACGAGACTTACGTGTTGGCCGCTTGCTCGATGCGCAGCACAAGGATACGCAGCTTTTCTTGGTCGTCCGGAAGTTCATCGTCGCACTCGTCGCAGATCGTGGCCGTCATACTGTGGTGTGTTTCACAGCAGACGCAGACGAGACCGTCGTCGATCTCAAATCCGTTCTTCTTGGCAACCGCAAGACGCTTGAGAAGGACCTTGAGCTTGGAAGCCACGGGAGCTAACGACCCGGCGCAGGCCTCGCAGTGCGTCTGAAGCAACGAGTTGGAGGCGCGGCAGAGCTGACACACGACGCGCGTACTCACAAGCATCGAGTTGGACCATGACGAGTACGTCTACCATAGCGATATGATGGAGATCTCAACATAAGGTCGTGTTGATGAGCTCACCGTCGTGCCAGTGGATGCTCCAGAGGTGACGGACGACGTCACCGAGCCGCTGCTGACTGTTGAGCTCGTGCGACTGAGTAGCTTGTCGGAGCGGTGGAGGTTCTCGGGTGTTGATATCTACAAAGAGAGTAGTGTGCATGACCTTTTCATGCCGTCAGAAGCGACGTAGGCTACCGCGGTGGAGCGCGTCTTGCGGTCCAAGGGCTCGGTCTCTGGTTCCTGCGCCAACGCTTGTTTGCTGCGACCGAGCAGCTTTTGGAGAGAAGTCACTAGCATCTGCGCCGACGGACGCTGCGTCGGGTCAAACGACAGACAGGCGTCGGCAAGGTGACGCAACCAAGGCGGAGAGTTTGCGCTCACTGTCGGACGGAGGTTGCCGAGACGCACGCCGTCCATGATATCCCATTGCCGGAGGCCCTTGACGTCGTGAAAAGGCAGCTGGAGCGTGTCCAGCTCGGTCAGAATGACGCCAAACGAGTAGATATCGGCGGCAAAGCTGTAATGACTGTCCGACGTAAAGACCTCGGGGGCGGTCCAGTACGGTGTGCCCTTGGCGGTCGTCATGATGGACTCGTACTCGCGCGCAATCCCGAGGTCGGCGAGCTTGATGTAGTTGGTCGAAGAGAGGAGGACGTTGTGGCTTTTGAGATCCCGGTGAAGAAGACCGTTGTGGTGCAGATCGGCGAGGGCATTCGCAAGCACCCACGCGACGTCCAGTGGCGAGACATCAACCTTGGTGGGTTGACCGAGTCGCTTGGCGTCGAGGTAGCTGCGCAAATCGCCGGCGTCCATGTACTCCAGCACGAGCTTGGGGCTCGATGAACGGGAGACAGCGAGCAGTTGGAGCACGTACGGCGAGTTGCACCTACACCCGTCAATGACGAGGGAATAAACAAATACTAGTATCAGAAAAGACATACAGCTGCATGGTCTCCATCTCGTAGATGAGTGCTTGGATGCAAGACGCGTTGACGGCCGTCTTGATGGCCACCGTACGACCATTGTACATGCCCTTGTACACGGCCCCGTAGCCACCAGCGCCCAATGGACTAGATATGTCCATCTCGATCTCCGACTCGGACACCTAACGACGTCATTTGTCAGAATTTTATCCAAACCGAGGACACGGACTTCAGGAACCTCACTGTGCGCAGCCGCTTGAAGCATCGTCGCCAGACGTCGATGGCCTAATCGAATGGCCAGAATCATTGGCGTCATGCCTGCCTACGAAGAAGGTTGTCATCGGCGCAGTAAACTGCTCGTGATATGTACTGCACTTTGGACGTCCATCTTGATATCTGGCGCGCGCACGAGTGCATCCAGTACCTTGTGGTCGTTGCGTTGCACAGCGAGATGCAGGAGCGAGTCGCCTTCCTACTCTCATTTATTGGCTCTCGGATGACGCGTCACTCGCTTGCCTCGTTCATGGCGTTGGGGCTCACGCCGTCAGTCACGAGCGCCATTGTCTGGCGGTAGTCTCGCTTGCACACAGCGTCGACAAGCTGCGGACGACGCTAGGTGATGCGATATACAATAGCACACTAGGCTTCTGTCGACAGGAGGTCATACCTGCATGTTGGCTTTGGCTTTGGCACGCTGCAGAATCGCGACGACGTGATCGTCCGTCGTAAGCATCAATGGCGTCTCGCCCGACTAGAGACAGACGTGTCGAGCTCACTTTGTGATTAGTAAGTACCGTAGTCATCGCAAAGACGTTGGCGTTGGCATCCAAAAGAGACTCGACAACGCCCGCATGCCCCTTGGCGGCCGCAACGTGCAAGGGTGTGTGACCCAACTAGTCGAAGATCGACTACCATACTGAGAAAATAGAGTGTAGCGCGCGTACGTGGTTGATCGCGTTGACATACGTCTCGTCCTTTGCCACCTTGAGCAGAGACGTGACGATGGCGACGTGGCCGCTGGCAGCCGCGAGGTGCAGCGCAATATCTCCATGCTAGAGCAACTAGAGTCAAGGATATGGACGCCGAAAGTGCCAACCTCGTTCGTGAGTGTGGGGCTGATACCGAGAGACAGCAGCTGATGCACCATGCTCGCGTCGTTGGTTGCGACTGCGTGGAGGAAGAGGGCCTTGGCCGCGTCAGGGCTTTTTGCCAGGGCTCGAGTCGTCTAATACCGAGTTGCTGAGTTACTCAAGCAGGATACAAGCGTGTACCTTGTCGTTGAGGTTGGGCTTTTTCACGAGCGCGTGGACCAGCGGTAGGTCTTGCGTCGCGAGCACCAGCTGCACCAAGGACGTTCCATTCTACAGTAGCCTTCGGCCACTCCATGTACAAACTAGAGAAATGTACGCTGTCGCAGAGGTTGGGGTCGATGGTCTCTTGCTCGAGGATTCTCGTTGCATCGACAAAGCGCTTTTTGTCGAGGGCGTGGAAGAGCTGAGTAACATTGCATCATTATCACAGAATCGGAGACACAACTACGTACCTTGGCTTGGTCGTCTCGCACCCGAAGAGCTTCCCGCAAAAGCTGGGCGATGTTGCCATGACCATCTTTTTCTGCGAGCATGAGTGGCGTCTCGCCTTTCTACATGATATAGTAGGGTTGTATCTCCCGCGTAGCATTGTGTGAAGTAACATACTTTGGTTTTGACGTCGATGGCCGCGCCCTTCGTCAGCAACAAGCGGACGATCTCCAAATGACCTTCGGAAGCAGCCCAGTGCAATGGTGTTCGACCAAGCTACACCAGAAATCACACAATAACACACGTGAGAAATACAAAACACAAAAGTACCATGGTTTTGACGTCGATGGCCGCGCCCTTCTCGAGCAAAAAGCGGACGACCTCCAATTGACCTTCGGAAGCAGCCCAGTTCAATGGTGTATAACCATCCTACACCAGAAATCACACAATAACACACGTGAGACATAAAACACAAAACGTACCATGGTTTTGACGTCGATGGCCGCGCCCTTCTCGAGCAAAAAGCGGACGACCTCCGAATGACCATTGTAAGCAGCCCAGTGCAATGGTGTTCGACCAAGCTACATACAGTAAGATATAACGTAATACAGAAATCA